GTGGCTGGTGGGTTTGAACCGCCAGCCTTCTGGTGAGCAGTCACATGCCTTAGGCACTATGCCACCAGAGATCCCCACTAGGAGGAAAGACATCCCTAAAGGTAAAACTGACATCAACGTGAACTCTTTTGTGGAACAGGTCTCTTCACTGACCCAGAAGTTGAAAGACCACTGCAAGGTTGACTATCAAATTAAAACCTTTTCTGGGCAAACTCATGGGTTCGTGCATCGGAAGCGAGAAGACTTCACCCCTGCAGACAAGCCCTACATTGAGGAGGCGAGGAGGAACCTCATTGAGTGGCTGAACAAGTACCTTTAGCCGCAGCCCAGTGCCGCCTTCTCGGTGGCGTGGCCCAGCACCACCTGAAGGTTCGCAAATCACCGCGATTTCACTTCACATGAAGTTTGGGAAGACATATCCGAAAATCATTTCATCTGCGACCTGAGTACAGGGGGTGAATTATGGAAGCATTTCAAGTCATCTTTAATGTGTCCATACAATAAAAAAGGAGAGAGAAAACGAGTGAGCAGCTGCAGCTGTGTGACAGTAAGATCCCGAGGGAAAGCGGGGTCCCCAGGACCCCCACAGCCTGGGGGGCTCTTAGCTCTCCAGCGCTGCTGTAATAGATATCACAAGGGGATGGCTTGAAGGAACAGAACTTTATTCTCTTACGGTTTAGGAGGCTGGAAGTCGGAACTCAGGGTGCTGGCTCTGGGGGAGAGGCCCTTGCAGGGCTCTGTGGAGCTGGCACCTCTGTACCCCGTCTCTGTCTGCCCACTTCTTTAATGTCTCATGTCTCCATAGAGCCTGACTTAGGACACGGCCCACAGTGTCTCACTAACACACCAGACAACCTGTGCTCACATGGGATGAGGACCACAGGTATAGTAGGATTGACAGTATATTTGGGGGGGAGACAACTCAGTCCCTATAGGCCCTTCCTGGCCTGAAGTTGGGCCCGTTGGTTAAGTGGCTGATGTTGCAAAGGCGGGAAGCTCGCGCAGGCAGGTAGGTTAAAAGCCTGGCTGGGACAGCCCTCGAGGCCTTCCCGTACGGACTTGGCTGTGCTCAGAGAGGGCAGGCTGACACCACTGGGATGAAACAGGGCCCTGCTGGCTGTGCTGTGGGAGCTGTTGTCAGGTGCCGTCGAGTCGTCTCCGACTCATAGCGAGCCCCAGCACGACAGAACGAAACGCAGCCTGGTCCCACGGCAGCCCCACGGCCCCTGCTACACCTGAGCCCATCGTTGCAGCCGCGGGGTCCATACGCTTACGCCACTTAAACTTTTTAACCTGGAGACCAGCTGGTGCGGCACCGGCCTGAGGGCTCGGGGAGGCTGTGGTGGGCGGGCCCCTGCCCTGAGGATGCGGTGAGTCCTGTCCCATAGCTGCTGTGTCACCCCAGGTCTGTGGACTCCAGCCTCCAAGGTCAAGGGCTGGCAGCTGCCTCTCAGGCTCACACCAAGGAACCAGCGTGGCTCCTCCTGTCGGGGCTCTGGTGCTGGTAGAGCCCTCTCCTTGGGGTTGAGGGGTGAGGCCTGTCTCTGGGCCCGATGGCCGGCGCTCTGTGTCCTGCATAGCCACACGGTGGCTGTGTCCTTGATGCACGGACCCCCATGCTGCACGGACCCCCTGGTCACCTCCCATGTTAGGGCTGGCTGGTCACTGACCAATGGCCCATGCTGGGTCCCTTCACGGCACCCTAGGTTAGTTACTCATGGATGATCGGCCCTTCGTGGTGCTCCAGGCTAGTTATGAGCGGACAACGGGTCCTGGGTTAGTTGAGTGGATTAGTGAGGAGCAGGCAGGTGGTGACCGGGACACACGGGTCCTGGGGTGTCTGCTCCCCAGGTGAGGACGCTGGCCTGCTCTGGTGGCAGGTCGAGCACAGAGGCTGGCGCCACTGGGGAGCTCTGGTACCTTCCGAGGAGACGTCAGGCTCAGCCCGTGAGCAGTCCGGCCGGTGCGCGGGTTCAGCCTGCCCCCCCGCCCCCCGGGCTGGAAGCTGCCTCAGGCCAGCAGCAGCGACCCTGCCCGTTTTCTTCATGGTTTGTAGGACTCCCATCTTCATCTCGTGCTGGGGGGACTCAGGAAAAACTGCCCACTGGGGGCCATCATGCTGGGGGTAGCGCAGGGGCCGCGGGCACAGTGGCCCAGCGCCCGCACCCGGCCCTGCAGGTCCAGGCGGCTTCCCGGGGACGGGCTGCCGCGGAGGCTGGTGGAGGCGCCCAGACAGTGAACGGGCTCAGGCAGGAGCCAGCAGCGAGGCCCGGGGTGCCCCAGAGGTGGGTGGGTGAAGGCAGCCTGGGGGGGGGCACCGCGGCCAGGGGTGGGGGAAGAGGGGGGTGTGTGTGTGCGAGGGTAAGGGGTGTAGAGAGAGGGAAAGGATGGGG